AAGAGTTAGTATTATATCTATAGAAAAATTTCCATGTTTGAATGTTAGTTCCCTATGTGCTTCGAAACTATTTGTCAGATTACGATGAAACTTTGGTAGGGTATTTCATGGGCGAGGGTTTCTGGCCCAAAAAAATATATACATAAACTGTTTTTTTGTCGTTATTTCTTAATACTTCACGTGGCATTGCAAAGCCACGTACAAGGTACAGTTGGTAAATAATAAATACAAACATTTCTCATAACTATGAGGTTTTTATAACTTAAAGTTATTAACATATATGTAATAAGCTATATCTATAGATTTTATAATCGGAGTTATACTTTTATAACTTTATACTGAATTAATCAGAAGGTACCTATCGAAATGATATTTATTTCTGTAAGTAAATCTTTTCAGAAATTTTTACAATCTCAAAATCGTCCAGAGTGTTGAGAGACCGATGATGTGTCATGAGGAGTGGTAAAAATAGATCTATAGGCGACAGATTCTACAATATACTGATCAACGGTGTCTATAAATATATCTAATGTTAAAGTGTGTGTGTGTGTAAATATATCTAATGTAAATGTGCTATGTTTTTACTTCTGAAACGCTTAAGAAATATTGAATAATTTTGCTACGAAACTAGATGGAACCTTGAATAAAGACAAGCATTGTTTTGCACACACATAGAAAAGGAGGTTAGTAAGTTTGAATGGTGTGTGTAAATCCGTCCCCATGTTTCTTCGTATCTACTAAACTGCTGAAATAATTTTGGTGATCCAAACTGAGGGTTTTTGGTGCCAAAAATGTCTGTTTTACTTTTCTTCCAAACCTATTTAGTTTGATTAAAAATAAATTTCAAAAATTCAAAAGATGATTATAAAAATAAATAGAACTGTATGTATATTGGTTAGTATTTTTAATACAGTAAGTATTTATTATTACGGTTGAACTTCGTCCTCTGGACAATAACTACTAGTCACCCATTATTACTATACCTACTACAATACGAGTATTCTAATAAACATCGATCTTTGACATATATAGCGCTCATTTTGCGTTCACCATCAATCAGTGTCTATACTCCAGCTATTCCATAACCGGGTCAGCTTTAATTGTTTTGTTTGACATGTCATACGCCCCCGTAACTCTACATATGTAGAGTTATTGAAACGTGGTTGCACGTCCTACGTACTGAACTTTGGAGTGATTCATGGAAATTTTTGTCCACTTCCATCGGACATTAACGGTAAACGAAAACAGGGCGTGAATTATATAAACATTTTCCCTGTGCGTATTGTATGTCACATTTGTTTATGTTTACTCTTCATATTCTTGCCCTACTCTCATTTTGTTTGGGGTAAAATTGCAGCTTGGTAGTTTTAACAAGCTATTATTTAACTTGCAATGTTTGTTTTTTATGTTTCACTTCATTTTTTCTTTTATTCGTTTTTTTTTCTTAATCTTGTTTACTCTTCATTGTCTTTTTACCTTTTAGTCCTTAATAACGGACATACTGGAACACATCAAAACAATGTTGTGGTATATTTAATAGTGCCATTGTATCTATCTGTGAATTGCAAAAGAGTGGCCATGAGTTTGCTTGCCCTTTCTTCTCATAAGGCTCAACCCCTTGAAAACGGGCGGTTGTAGATCGGCACAGGCATATCATAGATTTTGGATGGGTTTGATTTTTGTTAAATTTATTTGTTTACTATTTGAAAAAACAGAGATTGTTGCTTTTGTGTGTGTTCATCTATGATTTTAGAGTCTACATAAAAGACGATTTCAAACAATTTTAAAATTGTTATGAAATAAAGAGAGTTTGAGTTTGTTGTTTGGCACGGATCATGGAAATTAAATTAGAACCACTCATCGATGTCCGATTGGGTTCTAAATTTTTGTATATTATCTTCATTCTTCGTAATTTCTTCAGTGACAATATAATAATATGGTAGCATGGATCCGCTTTGATGATGAGGCCGAGAAACATCCATGGGAACTTCTTAACTTAGCAAGATATACCCATCTAGCTCATTTGTTTTGTCTTGGTGAGTAATCTGGTACGACATGATCTGTTAAAGCTTGTTTAAAATTTAATTAGTTTTCTATTTTTAGTTATTTGTGTTACGGGCGGCCGCCTGACGCTAACACTCCTTGAGAATGTAATCGTCTTCAGACGGGACAGAAGAAGATTGTTGTTGTAAGAGAAAGAAAAGGGATGAACAGCCACACGGATGGGGAAACGAGAACTGAGAAGGCGGTAGCTCAAAGAGGCGGGATCGAGGACTCATAAATCCGTCCTATGATTGGAGAGTCCACTAGGGAAGAAAGATTAACTGGCTTTGTTATAACACTAGATTTTAGATTTGTTAAATGTTTATGTGCAGTGCTGTTATATGCCCCTTACGACACCCACGGAATGAATAGGGGTATTGGCACTCTGTATTCTTAATCCGTCACCACACGGACATCATGTTGCTTAAGGACCTTTTACTATATTACAATAAAAAAGGGATATGAACTACTTATTTCATTCAATAACCAGCTGGTATCTACGTCATCGTCTGTGCAGAATTTCATGAGTACAGTTTCATTCTACATTTTACTGCGTTCAAGGTTTAATTTCGCGAGCTAGAAGCATTATTTTACGGAATATGGGTGAAGGAGCAGAAGGTTTTAGGGTAAAGGAATATTGCTTATTAGCCATGGGCCATGAGAGCCATGATTCGGCACATGTTGACCAACTGAACTGGAGTGATACCAGGGTCTCACAGAGAACCGGGCTTAAAGCAAATCTTTAGCTTTTTAATAAGTGTGTAAGGTTACCGGATTATTTGGTTAACCGAATTTAATAACAAATTTTTATTGAATCAGTTGTTGTCAAGGTGTGTTGCTATTTAATTTAGAAGAATGTATTCCAATTTAAAGTCGGTGATACTTTTTATAGAAGTGGTTACAATTACTAAAAATATCTGTTAGTAATATTCGTGAGAGTAAATAAAAGAAAAACTTGATCATTTTCAACAAAAATTTTAACAAATTTCAATTTTTATATCAATCGCAATTTGTTGAATTTTTTTGTAGGAAGGAAAGTTTGGATTAGTGTAGGAATAAATTTTATAAGTGTTCATTGACTCCTTCATAAAGAGGCTTTCGAAACTGATAATCAACCTCATCAGCAGCGTTGTCTATCGTCATGTCTTCGGCGAAGTTTAAGTAGGCCAGGCTCGAGGTATCATACTTCAGAAAAAAGAGTCGGTAGTGGGATTTTAGTAAAATGTCATATAATTTATATATTGAATGATGAATAAACAAGTGACAGAGACCCTAACATGGAAGTTGCTCAGTTCTTTACAGTATTGGGGTCAACCATATTTACAAGTGTTGTTACACTCTTGTGGTGTTTGCTTGCTTTCCTGAGAGGCTTACATATTTTCATAAAGTATAGAAAAAAAAACAGTTGTAATTATGTGTAAATAAACACTATCAGAACTTACCTGGTTTTGGCGAAATTGGTCATAGACGTTGTGATGTGTTTAATCATTTTGTATTCAATACCGTCCTTAGTTAGACGCAAGTTTAAAGATTTTGTGTCATTTGTGTAGAACACATCTTCGAAATGTGCACACCAGCTATGCCGTATTCTTTGCCTGCAGCAGCGTACACATGCCTAGATGAACAGGCTGACAATTTAAAAGCATATGTATTTCTGAATTGGATCCATCTTTTGAAGAATCCCTGCGTGTCATATGATATACTAAAATTGCTTGCATAGTTTAGAAAAACGGCATATTTACCTTAAACCTCAGGGCTCCTACGGGTGGTTTGGCGTAGGAAATACTTTTGAAACTGTAGTAAGTCTCGCCAAGACTTATTATTCACTTTTTCACTACTGAAGACACCCTGCTCTACACTTACTTCAACATCATCTCCAGATATACCTTGAACTGTCCTAAACAACAAGAAAATAAACAAAAGTAATTAACAAAAGGAACATAACTTACAAGCATAGAAGTAAGAAAACTGCAGAAATACGCGCTATTTTAAATGACTTCAACTTCTGGCAGAGCTGTAACACCAGGTGACAACTGAATGTGCCCCTCATTTATACAGTTTTGACCAAAAACACATACATTATTGATTCAGAATAAATTGTAAAGATATGTCTCAAATATTAAGTATTTGAAGGAGTTCTGTACATCTTGTTGTGTTTTGAAAATATATTTGTTCAATGGGATTTGTATAAAAAATGTATGTCAGGTTTAAATGAAATGTTGCATCGAAACTTTTTAACTTTTGAAAAATTATAAATTATTTTTTATTTACACGAAAGACGTTCCACTCGATTTTTATCGATCGTGGAGTTGTATGGACTGCTTTTTGTGTATTCTCGATTTAGTTCCTATTTATTTAGATTCTAGCTAAGTAGGCGGAGAATAAAAAAAAACAATATATTATACACTTTCTCTGTCTCTCTCATCTTGCTCCAACTATCTGTTTTCGAGTACTTTTGTGAATGTGGAACTCTAATATTATTCTGACAGTAATTTAAACTGTAAGAAAATAATTTAATTTTAAAGTTGATACAATTGATATTTTTATATTTACACGTTATGTTTACATTTTATGTTAGTTTTTAAGCACGGCTTCGTTCGCGTTAATATAGAGTTTATTAAACAGTTGGGCATCCTTTGGGGGGAGTAAATTTGTTTGCTGTGAGAGGTACCTTACACGATAAACTACCCTCCTGGCAACATGTAAACAATATGCGAACATACAATCGGTCAATTGTGTGAGGCTTAACAGTGCAACAAAGAAATGAACAAACCAACTCACTTTTTCACAATTTCGTATAATTTTATTTATGACTACTTTTCAATGTATTTGTTCATTATCCACTGTGTAGACAACATCCACTATTTGGACAAGTACCGTTTAAAAGACAGTTGGAACTTACGACATTCAGTTACCGCTTGGGTTCACAGCTTTCCAGAAAGCTGAACTCATTCAAAATGGCTTGTATTTCTGCAGTGTCCTTACTTTTATGCTTGTAAGTATTAATTATATTTTTTATTTTAATTAATTTGTTTTCTTGTTTTCTTATGTATCTTTTTATTTGCGTGGTCTAGGGTTTTTCAAGGCATTTCTGGGGAAGATGTTCAAGTAACAGTAGAGCAAGGCACCTTGAATGGTGAAATAGTGACAAGCGTCATTGGCGAGAATTACTACAGTTTCAAAGGTATTCCCTACGCCAAACCACCCGTGGGGGCACTAAGATTTAAGGTAAACACTCACGTGATTATATTTCCATGTTTAAACTTTTTATTCGTTACTTTTTGCAAATCCTATTATTCTATAATCCCGTCATCGAAATAGTTAACCAAATAATCTAATTGATTAACGTATAACGGATGAAAATTATTAAAATAATTATATTATTAACTATATAAAATTTAAATTAACGAATAGGATATAAAGTTAGGTAAATGATGGGCCTGTTGGTCGAGTGGTTAGTGCCCCTGACTGCTAAGCCGGAGGTCGTGGGTTCGATTCCCACCCAGGACAAATATTGTGTGATGAGCATGATCATTTGTTCTGTGTCTGGGTTAATTTATCTATAATATGTATGTATTTAAAAATATATAAGTATGTTTATCAGCTGTCTGGTCACCATAGCACAGGCTCTGCCTAGTTTGGGATCAGACGGCCGTGCGTGAAATGTGTGAGGTATATATTATATTATAAAAATACGCGAACTATTTCCTAATGTATGGGATATTTATGGGATATATTTCCTAATATAGTATATAGTAGTATATATAGTAGGGGAGTAGGGGAGTAAGTGACTCCCCAGATCGGCAATAGTTTCCTTAGCATCACTCCTCTAATACTAAATGTTACCAAAATACCAAGATAAATTTAGTTTTACTTTTTAGGATCCTGAAGATCCCATCTCATGGGATGGAGTGAGAGACGCCAAAGTTCATGGATCTGTCTGCCCTCAACTGAATATTTTAACAAATACGTACATTCCTGGTAGTGAAGACTGCCTGTTCGTCAACGTGTACACGCCTAATGTAAAACCTGAAACTCCTTTACCAGTTTTAGTTCATATCCATGGCGGTGCTTATTTATTCGGATCAGGAGATACTGACCTTTACGGTCCTGACTTTTTTGTTTCTGAAATGGTAGTTGTGACATTTAACTACAGATTAGCCACTTTAGGTTTTCTTAGTTTGGGTAACTGCGAAGTATCCGGTAACGCTGGATTAAAAGACCAAGTGGCAGCACTGAAATGGGTACAAAAAAATATTCACGTTTTCGGAGGCGACCCGACACGTGTTACTCTTAAAGGTGACACAGCTGGAGCAGCTTCAGTTGGTTACCACATGGTTTCACCAGGATCCAAAGGTTTATTCCACAGAGCTATAGCCGCAAGCGGTTCACCATTTAATGATTTTAATGTTGGTTTTGAACCTCGGAGAAGGGCATTCGTACTCGCTCAAACATTGGGCTTTGAAACAAATAACAACAACGACAATGATCTCCTTGAATTTTTGCAAAGCGTTGAAGTAGTTCAATTAATAAACATCACCGCAAGTTCCGCCTCTGTGATGGCATCACAGCAAATCACTGATTTACCATTCAAAATGCAACCATTCACGGCACCAGTTGTTGAAAAGGCATGTCCTCAAGGCAATTTTTTGACTAAAGACGTTTTAACATCTTTAGAATCCGGAGATGTGAACAAAGTTGATGTTATGTTCGGGTACGCTAACAAGGAATCCCTTCTTCTGCTCCCTGCCTACGTGCAGGCTTTACTGGGACAGTATAATAGATATCGAGAGTTGTTTGTGCCCAGTAAACTGCTGAACGTGTTAACTCCAAGTACAATTTTGAATTTGGCCGATGAGATCATTAATTTTTATTTTGGAGATAAAGCAATAAGTGTTGATAACATTGAAGAGTTTATAAACTATGCAAGCAATGTCAGTATATCATATGATATGCAGAGATTTTTCAGAAGATGGACCAAATTCGGAAATACATATGCTTTTAAATTGTCATCGTATTCGTCTAGAAATGTATACGGTGCTGCAGGTGAGTCATACGGAATTGCTGGTGCCGCACATTTCGAAGATGTATTCTACACTTATGACCCGAAATCTCTAAACTTGCCTCTAACTAAAGACAGTATTGAATACAAAATGATTAAACAGATCACAACGCCTATGATCGATTTCGCTAAAACCGGGTAAGTTCTGATAGTATTTTTGACACATATTAAAACTGTTTTCATTTTGTATACTTTATGAAAATATGTAAGCATCTTAGGAAATGTGTTATGATATTTCATTTTGTTTATAAAGCTAAAATAGCAAACAAGTACACGAAGCTCCTGAAAATAAGAGTGTAACAACGCTTATACTCGTAAATATGATTGACCCTAATATTGTAAACTTCCTTGAAACTGAGTTGTATTCAATTTTACTTGAAATATAAACTATATGATAATTTACAGAAATCCTACTCCTGACACTTCTTTTTGGCCGAAGTATAATTGCACCCTGGCCTACGTTAACTTCGCCGAAGACATGACGGTAGGCTACGCTCCTGATGAGGCCGATTATCAGTTTTGGAAGGCTCTTTATAAAAGCGTAAATGAACGCTTTTAAAACATCTCCATGAAGTTGCGGCATAAGCAAATTTGTTATCCTTGGAAATGAATATATTTAATTTGTTGAAATTTAAAACTTTATTTTTTATTATTTATTGATTTTAATGCTTGATATACTGACTATGGCATGGTACTCCAAAGTTACTCCTCGTACTTCAAAATGGGTCTGACTATATCTTGAACATATTATACGTCGCTATCAAGACTCATGCTACACGGAGTTTCTACTATTATTTAAGGTTAACCAGCAAGAAACAGTTACAATTATAACCTAATGGTTGCATAATAAAACATTGAAATAAACAAAGAAGAATTATGTTCCTGATGTATTGCTATTAAGTTTTAACTCCAAGTCTTGAATATTCTTACAAGTATAAGAAAACACAAAAGATCAACACGAGGCCTGTATCGATATCGAAGGTGCCTTTGACAAAACAAATTTCACTAGCATTAGCCAAGCTCTGTCTAGAAATGGCGTTGATTCCACCATTCTCAGGGTGGATCGACAGCATGCTAAGATATAGAGCTATTCAATTTACAGTGAGCGAAGTGACCAAGGGGGGGGGGGGGGGGGTAGCAGCTAGAGGGTGAGAGGACGGTGTACTCTCCCCTCTTCTGTGTAATTAATCGCACAACTCAACCGTAGATTCCTCACAATAGGTTATGCAGACGATCTGACTATCCTCATCAGTGTTCCTTTTGAGAATGTTATATACGATCAAATGAGACTCGCACTGAAGATCGTTGAACAGTGGTGCACGCATAACACACATCTTGGCGTGGTGCACGCATAACGCATAACACACATCTTGACAGTGAACCCATGATCATGAAAACAGAGATGATCATGTTCACAAACAAACGTAGTCTAGGAAATCTCAAACTTCCTAAACTAATTCAAACATAACTGGCTTTTACCAAGGAGGTCAAATATCTAGAAGTAATACTAAACAGTAAACTCCTGTGAAATAGGCACCTCGAAGAGAAACTAAACAAATAATGCATTGTCTTCTGCAAATGCAACTGCTATTATGCAAAAGCTGGGGACTATCACCAAAGATTACACTATGGATCTACAAAACAGTCAGCACCGCAATCATCGTCATAAATAGATTGTCACTGGCTGTATTAGCAACCCATACGACAGGATCCCAAAACACTATATCTTCACAAGGAGATATCACATTCTGACACAAGAAAATGACCGAGATCACTCTGGCTTAAACGAAGACCGAATTTATAGGGACGGTTCCAAGACTGGGTCAGGAACTGGAGCCGGAGTTTTCTTATAAGACCTAAACATGAACATATCACTAGCGTTAGGCACACACAGTTCCACATTCCAATGCGAATGTGGGGCAATAACTTACGCCGCCACACCGGCCATGTCAAAGAGTATTAAGGACTACAACATCCGTATACTGTCACACAGCATGGCCGTCCTAAAGGCACTGGAGGGCAACACAAGGACTTCTGGTATTGTCTTCAAATGCCATCAAGCATTGCAGCTTGCCACAACAAATGGGGTACTCCTCCAATGGATTTAGGGGGCAAAGTAATTCACACGGGTCATTCACGTCAGTCTTAGCAGTCTAAGTAGCAAGCAGTAACCATAACAGGAAACCTAGCCCTGAACCGACAACTATTCATCATTAATGCGATGGACAGTCCTCTTTGCAGAGAATGGCTGAAAGCAGAAGAAACGGCCGCCCACGTAATCCTGGAATGCGAGGCAGTGGCCACACAACGGACAAGTACCATACCTTGTACGAAATCGCTTCTGCGCTTCTGGAAGGAGCTTGATTGGCTCACCTAGCCATTTTCTTCTAGACGCATAAAGGACCACTCTCGCGTCTAAATGCGGAAATCGAACCCCATAACCAATACCGAGTATAAGAAAATTGAGAATTGTGACCAGAACAAGAGAAGCTGAGAAGGAACACGAAGTTTGAACATCACAACAGTCACTCGTGGAGAGTTCACCCTATTCCGAAAATTTTTGCAGCAACCTTTGCGACATCCAATTATTTACGGTAGTTTACAAATCCTATTTTGAAATGTGTTAACCCAGATCTATAGGGACAGTGGTTTTTAGTTACACGATTAGAGAATGCCATAGAAAAAGACATAGAGCAGTAGAAGCGCAAATCCATATTTTTTATAATTCCTTTTTAATGATGTCGTCTAAATATACCATAAATGTTAATTTGGTTTCGTTAATAGCTTAAAGGATGCTCATTGTACAAATTTCTTTAAATATCTCCTTGTCCGCAAAAACCAAAAGATGAAATATCAAAGTTTTTAGTATAAAGAAGTTTCCTATCAGCTTCAACAGAAGTAATCATAACTATTTTAGCAAACTTATCTACAGTCCGTCTGGATAAACTGTGTGTGATACAAAACAGGTCCCAGATGTGGGCCTAAGGCACACCGAACCCGATTTTTAACAAACTTCTTAACAAAAATTAGCCCCATTATTTTAGTTATTAGTTAATTGTCACAGAACTTATTATATGTGTAAGTAGTGTAATACTGTTATGGTGTATTTCTTGTTCCAAAAAATAATTCCCTTCCTGAGGAAATTAAAGGTGTGATAGCGTTCAACTGACTAGCATTTGGTGTTGTCAATTGTTCATTTGTTTGATACCTTAGATGCATAAAAATATGAGTTTTGTATACAAGAATCAAAATGTAGTAGAAACTGATCGACTGGTTGTCTTTTACGAAGATGAATTTTTAACCTAAATAGTTATTTATTATCCAGTATAAGTTGGACCAGTCCGTGTGGTGACAGATTAAGAATACGGAGTGTGACCACCCCTGTTCATCCCACGGGTATCGTAAGAGCCGACTTAGAGAGCAAACTACGCAGAACAACTGCAGAGAGAAGGAAAACTTGACACAAACCCTATACCAAACTGTCTGGCCAGCGTAGTATAGTATGCCGAAATCCCTTTTCTAAGGAGAGGCCTATACCCAACAGTGGACTATTAAAGGCTGTGGGTTATGATTGATTATGTTTGACTTTCATTGGATTGAAATTGACTCGTAAGGCATACAATTAATTATATTTATTAGATGGCTTAGTGGTTTGTGTAACGGACTGCTATTCCAAAGGTCGCGGGTTAGATTCCCGCTCAAGTCAAACGTTTGTGTGCATGAGCATTTGATGTTTGATTTGGTCTGGGTGTTTCTATGTATAATATGTATGTATTTACAAAAAAAAAGTATATATGTATGTATTTATATCAGTTGTCTAGTACCCATAGTACAAGCTCTGCTTAGTTTGGGACTAGATGGCGTTGTGTGTATGTGGTAGAATATATTATATATATTAGAATATATTTAGGTCATCATTATCATCATCAGCTTGTCGGACTCCACTGCTGGACATATATTTACTTAGATATAATAATATATATACACAACATAAAAAAAATTAAGATACCAATACAGCTAAGTCAATATTGATAAAATATGAATTTTCATTAAGAATTAATATATGAATTAATAATTCTTATTTTATCAGATAATGATGAATATTTATCTTAAAGCATTGGTGTACACAGCTGATACTACCTTGATAATAATTTATCGTGAAATTTAATTGTTGTACGAAGAAAAAAATTGGTCATACTGTGTTGCCAGGTATAGTATTTTTTTTTGTTTTAAATAACTATGATGTGTTTTATATAAGTAGGTATTATTTTTTGGAAGTCTTCGATATGAGAAGACTTGTTGAAGGAAATGGCTGGCTATTGATTCTGTCTACGGCAAGAGCTAGTCTGTCAGCCTATATTATGAGCGTATCATAAATTGTCTGTACCTATTTTATATCAGCTTTTGCCCTCGGCTTGCCTTTTTCGACAATCAAAGTATCTCCATGCTAAATTTAATTAAAATCGGCTCAGCGGTTTAGCCGTGAAAGCGTAAAAGACAGACAGCGTTACTTTCGCATATATAATATGAGCAGGAATATCGTCTAGTACTTGGGTTGGGTCCGAGTCTTTCTAAAGACTGTCGTCGAACTTTTTAGAAATAATGAAAGAAACATTTTTCAATAGAACACAGGTACCATATTTAACAGTGGTGTATTGTTCAAGCTATATTCTTACTTTTTTTTTTTTAACGTGTGGAAATCCCCTCGGACCGTCACCCCGCCGGGGCTCTCGTTCGGCGGGGCGGTGTGTCGGACTCGAACCGTCTAAAACCACACGGTGGCACACCGTGTGGTTTTCGTCGGTTCCAGTTTAGGAGGGGTCCAGTCCAGGAGGGGGTAGTTATCGCCTTCTGGACCCCTCCCAGCGCCAAGCTATATTCTTCCTGGATTAGGCATGCAATTATTTAGGGCTTGAACTACCCGTACCGATTGTGACAGTTGTTCATATGGCAACCAGGACCGACGGTTAACGTAACGCTTAACGGAAGGGTCTTAATGAGTTAAGAATGATCACCCATCCATAGACTGACCTGGCTAGGATTACTTAACTCTGCAATGTTACCAACCTACTCGGTTACAGTTGTCAAAATGATAGCGTATAATTCACCTCTGGTTAACCCTATATGCGTGAATGTATGTATGTATGTTTTTAATGGCAAAGGGACTAAAAGAGAATACTGGTCAAATGATTTTAAGTGACTATCGCCGTCCATGAAAACCTGCAATTCAAGAATCCCAAGTGCGTAGTCGCCTTTTGATTCCCCCACTCCAGATTCAAGGGAAGGAAGAGTTTTGGGTTCCGGTAACATCACTTATCCTATATCAACCCGTCTGGCCAGCGTGGTATAGTAGGCCAAAACCTTATTTCTAAGGATAGGCCTATGTGTAGAAAAAAAAAAAAACATTTTCAAATTTATTAAAATTTATTTTCTATTTTTTAGTTTGGTTTTCTATAAAAGCGTGTTTTTAGTTTTTTAAACTATTTCTTTTATTTTATTTTTTTAAATTAGTGTATTGACATCGGTCCTCGATATATCTACAAAGTTTGAACGAATTCT